CTCAGAAACTCTCTTCGTTTGAGACAACCTTTTCCAAGACTCTCAAGATTTTCGATCTTGAGTTTTTATTTTCCGGCAGTTTTTATCTTCAAGTACCTTTAGTCGCTGTGGACTTTTCCTTCTTCAGAAGAACCAGAAGTAAAACTTCCAGCTCACTCATCACGAACTCATCAAAGACCTCCGGTGTCTACCGCATCAGGATTCTTGTTTCAGCAAATCGAAACCAATGCAAGTAACCGCTTACAATTATTTAGATGCGTGTTTAAGTTTCAGCCCCTTTTAAGGTGATTTTTGATTCTTTGATGATTCTCATTAGGTTGTGGTTAATTGATGTGAAATACTGCCATTCTTTTACTTTTCTCTCTCTTTTCCTTACTTTGCTTCATTCTGTATATATGTGTTTTGCTTAGTTAGTTATATGTTAGATATAGTTTCATTTATTAAATCCCTTATATTCACAACTGATTGTCTCTGTTTGCTGCTCACAATTCGAAGTCACTGAATGTTTGAACCCTTGCTACATATGCTAAATTACTGCTAGCACTGCATAAAGAAGGAAAGCTACTTTCCTTGGCCAGGATAATAATCTTTCCTTGAATTGATAAATGATTATATTGTCTGCTCGGTGGACGGACAGATCAAATAATTGTAATATTGATTCTGCTACAGTTAATTCTAAGCTCTAATCTAAATATTTATTATTAATCATAACCAGTTATAATTAGTCATAAATATTTCCCTTTTGAGCTGATTTACTACACATTGCAAAGGTCATAAAAAGATCATACGAAATGTATATATACATATATACACACACAAGTTGTTTGGAAACATTAAGTTTTTAAAAATGTTTTTTGACTTAAGTCTCTTCTGCTTATCAAAGCTGCATTAATTTGATCAAATATACAGTAAAAACAGTATTATTGTGAAATATTATTACCATAACTGTTTTCTATTCAAATACATGTTAGAAATGTAATTTATTCTTGTGATCAAAGCTGAATTTTCAGCATCATTACTCCAGTCTTCAGTGTCACATGATCTTCAGAAATCATTCTAATATTCTGATTTGCTGCTCAAGAAACATGTATTATTGTCAATGTTGAAAAAATGTTTTTTTTTTTATTCTTTGATGAATAGAAATGTATGAAGTAAACTTCATAAAATTGTTTATAACAGTATAAATGTCTTTACTGTCACTTTTGATCAATTTAATGCATCCTTGCTGAATAAAAGTATTAATTTATTTAATTTCTTTCCCAAAAAAAAAAGTCTTACTGACCCCAAACTTTTGAATAGTAGTGTATATTATTACAAAATGTTTCTATTTCAGATAAATGCTGTTTGTTTGAACTATCTATTCATCAAAGAATCCTGAAAAATAAAAAATTACACAACTGTTTTCAACATCGATAATAATGTTTGTTGAGCAAAAAAATAAGCATATTGTTGTGACACTTAAGACTGGAGGAATGATGCTGAAAAATGTTGCTTTATTGTTTTTATATACATATATATAATTTTATTTATTTATTTTTACAGTGAGGAGGATGTGATTGGTCATGCAGCAGCACAGATAAACACCACAAAGACATCTGAAATCTGTCACGAGATAACACGTCTAAAGTTGTGGAAATGTCCAAAAACAGGAAGTCCTGGGCTGCGTTCAGCCCCACAAAAACGGTGCAAAACGTTTTTTAAACGGAAACGGTGATGTGTTGAACACCCTGTTCTGATGACGCAAGAGTTGCAACTATGGCAGCTGAGAAGACCATTCTTTGTGTTCTTTTTGAAGAATTTTCGGAGCCTGATGAAATCGGTATAAATACATGTTTAATACTGCAAAATACACTCGATGTTACAGTCACTGCCCTTGCTGTCCAGAATAAAAGAGAACATCCCAATCACACTGTTGCACACCGTTTCCAGGAAACATGTCGTTCAAACCGGAAACCATAGCAAAACGGTGCACACCGGTTTGAGTTTGAACTTGCCCCTGGCAATCCCTTGAAAATCACCTTCCTTGGGAAATAAATAAATACAATTATATGTATATAAAGCTAAAAACAATAAAGCAAGATGTTCAGCATCATTACTCCAGTCCTAAGTGTCCCTTTTAGATGTTTTTAAGCTTTTTTTTTTTTTTTTTAAGCTTTAATAGGCGCGTTTCCATTAAACGCCCATATATCGCAAAAAAGTTTTTACGCTAGCATGAGGTGGTTTTTCAGGCAATGCGAAAAAGGAATAATTCGCAACACTGCAATGGAAACGGCTTTTTCGCATTTACAGGTCAATTGGCGCATGTAAAAGGTCATATGATCATGCATCAATGTACTATAACCTCCAAGAAACACTTCATAAGTGGCCGCGCTCCAGTATACGGGGCTTTCCCTAGTATTAATGCTTAGACAATTTACACTGCAGACGTCTGCGGTGCAGTGTGGCTCTGATACGGTCACTGAAATTAATTACGGCCACTCAATGCTTGTGTTTATGTTTTTATACAGTCTATGGTTTATTCCAGCCGCGCCACGCACGTTTCTGAAGCGGCACGCCTGAATTTTTGGGCACGCCTGATTTAGTTAATGCCTAACTTCCACAGGAAAGCTCTTGGAATGTTGCTTTCACTTTTAACTACCGCTAAAACTGCGTCGCTAGCAGAAGAACAGAACGCTTTCATAAAGCAGAATCTGTATTAATTTTCTGAGGGGGAAATTGTGAAAATGAAGCTTCTCTGTAAGGCGCTTGCAGGAATCTTGTTTTTACTCGACCACGGTAAGACATTTATTTGTTACAACCACTCTCCCGAACCCGAATTCTTTGACCGTAGGTAGCCTATATCTGTAGCGCAAGCTGGCAACAGCGCCTACCAGAGTAACACAATTTGTGTAACGGTAATGATGAAAAAAAAGGAACCTACGCAGCTGAAATGCAGTCTAGATCAGTTTCAACGGGCTTGCAAGTAATCATGCCAATATAAAAACGTAACATGGCATCATACCGTCAGTAAATGTTGATACACTTTACATAAACGGATCAAAGCCTAAATATATTATTTACATGGGGAAATATGGGACTTAAAAATATTTTGTAGAAAATGGCGCTATATTATCTGAACATCATATTTTTTTATGAATCCAGGAATGTTTCTCTACTCAAAAAACCTCATGATATGCAGACAAAACATTTTCGTAGCAGTGTTGTATTGTTTGGTTTATATTTTTTCTTCAGTTGCATCTGGTGTTGGATCAGATGAACTGCCGGTGCCTGTGATGGAGGGAGATTCAGTCATTTTTCACACTGGTGTTGAAACAAACCAACAAGAAGATATAAAGTGGTATTTCAGCAGCACTCGCATCGCTCAAATCAATGGAGCTCTCAGTTTTATCTGTACAGATGTTCAGTGTAATAATGGCACTGAGAGATTCAGAGACAGACTGAAGCTGGACAATCAGACTGGATCTCTGACCATCACAAACACCAGAACCACAGACTCTGGACTTTATGCACTGAAGATCATCAGTAGAAGCAGCAGCAGGGAAAAAACCTTCAATGTTATTGTCAATAGTGAGTCATTAATATTTTTTTTTTCTCCGTAAAAAGGTGTAGCTGAGTTCAGATGGAGATGACAGCATCTAATCATCTCTGACCAGCTGATAATTATGTTTAAATAAAGTAAAAAAAGGGCTTGTTGCTTTCATCTTCACAGTTCTTTCATGTTGTGGAGTTTGTTATTAATTCCAGCAGAAAGAGCATCCAGCAGCTGTTGCTTTGTGCTTCAGGTGTTCCCGCTGCTGAGCGAGATGAAGTGAAGAGAAACGAGGGAGAATCTGTCACTTTAGATTCAGGTGAAATAAGAAAACCAAATGATGTGATGACATGGTTTTTTAATGACACTCCCATCGCTCAAATTACTGGTGATCCCAATAAAAGCTGTACAGATGTTCAGTGTAAAGATGGTGATGAGAGATTCAGAGACAGGGTAATGGTGAATCAGACTGGATCTCTGACCATCACAAACACCAGAACCACAGACTCTGGACTTTATAAACTGCAGATCATCATCGGCAACAGCAGCAGTTTCAGTATCACCAGAGTGAAGAGATTCAACTAAGACAATGATTGCATTTTCCACAATTGCCTCGCCAAGAAGAGCATTATACAAAAAGTTCACTCCTCACACAGTCTTATAGTGGAGGACACAAGTGCTCTTCATAGTGCACTACTGCTACTTTACATGTTTCTACTGTTTTGACTGAAATGATGTTACTAATGTGTATGGCTTAGCTACTAACACTAACCCAGGCTGGACCAACTCTAAATAGCATTGCTTTTTTATAGGTCCACCTTTAAAGATGCCTGGAAGTTCACTGATTTATTTTGAAGTTGATGAAACACTTTGCTGAGAGTATTTATGATCTTCAGTGCCTGTAACTGGATGCTGTGTTAAAACATGTTTCTCTGGCGATTGGTAATGTGATGTTTGTCCCTTGTTCCTTTTTTTTCCTTCTTTTGTCTGGAGCTCATTTAAAATGTATTAGTATCCTCAATAGAGATTCATCATTAGGTTTATTTACGTCTGGTAAATATTTCTTAGTCATGTATGCATTTATATATTTTTTACCATAAATAAATAAGAACTGGACACAAATGTTTGGTTTCTCAATGCTAAAGGTGGTAAGCTGTTATTATTGTGTTCCTTGCAATATGGCCAGAATATTTTTAGACATGTTCTCCTCAACCATCAGCCAAAGGAAAAAAAAGTGCCTTGAATAAACACTATTTTCATTTTTTTAAAACAAGGAATGAGCTTGACGGATCTTTGTAGGTGATAAATATTATTAAAAACATTCGATTCATTCTTAATGGCTGGAATCTGTGTCTGTAAAATAGTTTTGCGTGTGTTATCAGAAATGATCGTGAATGCTCTCATTGAATCGTCGAGTTAAAAATTATTTCAACAGTCACGCACTAAACTTTCACCAACAGTTACAGCGATTGCTTCTATAGTAAAACTGATAATGTGGTAGACACCACTCAGAAAAGAAATTTGAAAAAATGTCTTGCACTCTTTAACGAAGGCGCCATATTAAAGTATGAGTTTAGGAACATTAACTGTGTTTGCTATAACTATTTTTGGTGAAATAGCCTATGATAACTGTGGTCGGACAGAATTTTTTTTTTTTTAGTTATTATTATTAATAATAATATTTTCTATTTATGCCTTCTCAATGTACCAAAGTGAATTTCCGATTTTTTCATTCGCTAATAAATCGATAGTAAATCATAAATTGGTTAGTCTTGACTGACAGCGCTGCACTGTACGAATCAGCTCACGTGTGTATCGCGTAGTGATGGGAATGGGGGTAGAATTGTTGCTTTATTCCAAATAAATAGATTATGATCCACAAATAAATGTAAAGAGATTAACAAAAATTAAACATATTGACTTTGGTGGAAGCTTATAATATCATATGCAGTTCATAAAGGCATAACGGAAATAATGCAATATCCCTCAGTTAAATCATGAAATAGAATTTAAACCTATAACATTTTACAAAGACTAGACAGTAGTGTTTTATCATGAAAAACTGGGGTGTTGTGTGTGTGTGTGTTACTTTATAAGCTAATACACATCTTGAATAGCTGATGTTTTGAGGCCTTTGCTGAAATACAGAAAAATCATTTGACATTAATTGGCATTTATTTTCCTGGACACCGCAAAGTACAAAATTATATACACCAAGTATGCCTTGAGCTTTTCTTTTCTATATATTTTTTTTGTGTGTTTTTTTTTTAGGTGGATCCTTGGCCAGACTTGAGTGACATTATAAGGCAGGGATCCTCACCGCATAGCATTAGCGCAATTAGTTTAAGACAGGCTGCCTTCTTCTGACAAACCGATGAAATAATTGGATAAGGCGTTCGAGTGAGCCATTTTGTAAATATTTTAGCATGAGACTGCTGAATGCGCAGCTGCAACGTCAGCGGAAAACGTGGACTTGACAACACAGCAGACCCCGCCCTTTGCCAAACATCTGTTTGCAAACATTTTGAGATGGCGTCAACGTAGAAGTTTCCATAAGAGTCTGCATTTGTTTTTTCAGAAAAAGGGTAATGATGAGCCTTTTTATTTTCGTCCAAATGTGGCTTTTCCAGCTTGGTAAGTACACTGTAAAAAAAATTCCGTAGTAGCAACAGTAGCAACGTTTTAGGTTTTACGGGTTTAACTTAAATTTACAGTTAAATACCGTCATTTCATTAACTGATATAATGTTAATATACCAACCTATTGAAGTACTGAAATCTGTTTTGTACCTTTGTAATACACTGATAACCACCAAATGCAGGTGGTGATGAAAAAGTCACATGATGAACCAAAGCCCATCACAAGCAGCTTTTAAATAATAACATATATAGAAGGCGCACAGTACAAAACTGATAAGAAAAAACTAAGAAACATAGTTATTTCAACAAAAAAACATCAAATTTGAAATGTAACGCAGGGAATTCAGGGAATGTCAATTTACGGTTATTCACTGTAAATTATACTTTTTTTTCACTTCCAAAAACGGTATACTACCGTAAAATGAATGTACAATACATGTAATGTCCAATAAAGTTTTTCACCGTATATAGTATGGGAATTTACCGTTAACCATTTAACAGGCTTTTACTGTAGCATTTTTACAGTCTTTTACCGTTAAATTCACGGTCATTTTTTACAGTGTA